TCCTAGGATTCTCAGCAAGAATGACGTGAAGAGGGACACACGTCCTCCGGCACGTTTTCACACTGACACTACAGAACTTGAACTTGGGCCTGCTCCCCCGTCTTTCTGTCACCACCCGTACATGTGGGATTTCAAAATCTTTTGCCCTAAATGAACTTTTCCCTCTTCATTCTAAACTCCATTTTTTCCACACACGTTTTGGAACTCCCTGACCTGCACATGGCCCTGGGCTTGGGGGGCGGTACACTTTCCCAGAGTAGACACATAAAGTCTCAGGATCTCCCAACGATTCAGCAGTTCCTATCTGTCAAGGTGTGTGCCTTACCCCACACACAGAAATGCAGAGACGAGCAGACCAAGAAGAAGAAAACCGCATTTCAGTTCTATTCAGAAGCAATCCAGATGCGTCTTTAGGATGTAGAGTTATGGTTTGCCCCTTGCTCTTATACATTTTGGGGGCAACTTTCATGTTCCACTCTCAAGATCCCAGAAAGAATATTGAGATACGCTTGCCGGGGATGCGAAAGGTTAGAAGAGTATCATCTCTACAGAAGTAGCAGCTGAAAATCAGCTTTTCCTCTCATGGTAGTATAAAGGAGTGTGAAGGCAGCGTGGGAGAGAGACCTGACTGCCTCACACTGGATCTCCTAGATTCAAACCTGCCCCAACACACCTGCTTATGACCCAGCGTGGATGTGGAAGAGATGGCCACTCAGGAAGAGGAATTTCTGCAAAACAGGTCATTAGGAGTTTTATCTTTTTATCTTTCACATCTGGTGCATCAGCACTGTGCATCTGGAAAACAACACAACTCCCAACGTGGCAGGGTTCCTCACCAAACCGGCCAAGGGGGTTGGCAATCAGCCCCACCACCTTCAGACCCTTATCTCAGGCATGAAGAACTGAGGAGGGATGCACAGGCCATGCTGTCTTCATGCACTGGGAGGACCCCACCAAAAGACCCTAAGAACAGTCTTCCCAATCTAGGCTCCTCTTATTTCTCCTTTTGTGTTAGGACCGTGAAGTGCGACCTAAATGTCTAAAGAAGAAAACTGCAAAGTATATTTGAGCAAAGCAGTAAAGTCTCATAATCCTATCTGAGGACAGAGGAAAGCAAACCATACTCAAGTTTATAGCTTGTGCTTATACATACACACATATATACACATGTGTGTGTGTGTGTATATATATATACATGTACATATATACATATATATATATATATATATATATACTCTTGATTGGATTTCCTAAGAAATATTGACCTTCAGCTCTGACTCCATTCACCTGGGCCACCATGCATGACCGGGGTCAGTAACTCCTAGATTGGAATTCCTTTGAAGGCATGGACTCACCGCAGACAAAGCAGAGTGAAGGGGAGTAACTTCATTTAAACAAATGACATCTGAAGCTAATTAGGCAGGAGCCCAGGATACTCAGCGAGGGAATGAAGATGCTAAAAAGCAGTCACAGAAAAATAGTGCACTTTGTCGATGGCTCTCTTAAAATTTATCACAGGCATGACTAGGCAAACTCTGGCTAAATGGACATTTCCAGTTAAAAGTGCCTGCTTACCATGCCTGAACAACAATGACAAACTTCACATTCATTTCTCCCCTAAATAAACTATGTAGTTTTTAGTGAGCTAATTTAATTTAAATTTAAAATGTCTTTGAAATACAACCCAAAGAGAACCCAACAACGTGCTTTGTTGTGGCCCTGATCACCAATCTACAAAAAGTGCTCTCGGCTCAATAAAAGAATAAAAGAATAAAAGAATTTCAAGTCTCTCAAACAACCCATGTTCCCATTGACAACATTCCACACACGTTCAAAATCTGAAAACACAATTCAACGTGCAATAAAAGGCAAAGTGCGTTTAGACAGGGACCAAAACCACTATTCCTCTACTATTTTTGGCTTGAGAAATTTGAAAACTTGCACGAGCAGATGCAAAATGCTTCCAGGATGTTCTTGGTGAAACCACTTCTTGGTAGCAACATGCATGGGCAACTTGGCTTGAAGGGACTCGGAACGTGTTGCAAAGGCTTGAGCACTGAGGCACCCAGAGGTACTAGGCACTTAGGAAACTTTGAGTCCAACTCACGACCCAAATGATAGAGGACAAGAAGAGAAGGGCCAACTGCCACCTTCTCCTCTTCTTGTCCTTTCAATTTACTCCTATTTTTCCCCACTCTACAGAAAACCAGAAACAGCCCTCTAAAATGAATTCTCCCCATAGCAGAAAAAAAAAATTCCACTTGCGAGCATGCGAGTATCCATTAGAGCATTGATTCTCCTAAGAGCTGCGCTGCCTTCTGCTTGCTCCAGGAGGAACACAAAGGCATTCACTCTCTGAGCCTTGAGATGTTCAATTCAAGAGCAAAGACCCTGGCCATGAAAGAATCTGAAGGTTAGCCTCCAAAACAACAGAGCAGCATCCTTCAGCCTCTTCAGCCCTGGAGAAGGAATCCACCACTTTTATTTTCAAAGGATAAAAAAAAAAAAGACAGAAAAACCCTCCTCAAGTATGGAGGTAGCAGCTGGAGGGAAAGGAATTTGTCTCCTGGGAACTTTACTGACGTGATCCAAGCAAGCAAAAATATGAATGCCAGCTATGCGAACCACTATTCAGCCAACAGTAGCAACACCCAGAATCCCTCGGATGCAATCTTCATTTCCTTTTGTTAATCATCCCGCCATCCTGGTGAAAAGAAATAAACTGTGCTTTTCCTTTAAATTATCATACAGCTTCTCCATGTAGATTCCCCCTCCGTGGAAAGGACCCGATCTATCTTTCAGCACAATTTCCCTTGTTGATACAGGCAAACCAGGTCACTTTCTGGCAGATTAGCATACTTGCATTTTACTCCTTGATTCAATTCCTGGTTAAAGGCATTTAAGAAGGAAAGAAAGAAAAAGAAACTTCACGCACAAATACACCAAATACTGCTTACACGTCCATATGAATATTGACATCATGTACAGATTTGCCCCCAGTCTTCTTTCCTTGGTGCTGAGAGCCCTGTCAATGATCATTACTTATTAAACAGGCTGCGTTCCCTTCTACACAATGTGGGAAGAGAGCACAGAGGGGCAGAAAGAACTACCCTGGGCGTGCTTTAAAGACCTCCAAAATGGAACACAGCAGAATCAACTGCAAAGAACATGAAATGTCCCCTCCATGTGCCATGCCTCCCCTTACACACACACACACACACACACACACACACAGTTGGGAAGTACACCCACACTCCATTATTCATATCAAATGCTTCAGAGGAGATTTTTTTTTTTTTAATCTGGGCTGCCCAGGACAGACACCTATTTTTAATCCACTGACTGCGTTCACACATCCCTCCACAAAACTCCAGCTGGATCAGCAGAGGGAAGCAAGCCCCTCAGCACCTCCTGGGAAATGTGCAGAAAGGAATGCCTCACCCTCAGCAGGCGGAACCGGCAAGTTACCGGCTCTTCTGCCATTCGGCTTGGTGGCCCGCGCCTCCCGCCCTTCCTTCCAGTCTCCCACTGGACCCTCTAGCCACCCCCCACCTCACCCCACCCCACCCCCCCAAAGCAGTGTATGGAGGAAAAACAAGGGCTTGCAACCCCCATCTTACTTACAAATACATTCAATTCTGTCGCAGGGGAGAAGGGAAGACCACAGGGTGAGGGGAGTGAAAACTTAGCAGATGTCTGAGAGGCAGCAGGGTATCCTCCCAGCACCAAGGAGTTAACCAGGCGCTGCCACTCCTGGCCAGGTCAGGGCTGCCCGGGAGACACCCCCAGCACAGCCAGCCAGTCCTTGCAAAACTGCCTGGCACAGAACTTGAGCTGACACGCCGGGGGTTTGTCCTAAATAACCTTCAGCCACACAGGCTGGTCCCCTACCCTCATTCCTAGAGGCACTAGGTGGGCGGCCAACAGTCCCCATCCATGCAGAATACTGCGAACACTACGCACTCTTGCAACAAGGTGGCGAGGGAGCTGTCAGGCATGGGGGACCTGACTGGTCAGGGGCTTGCACCGACTGACTGAGCTCAGGCTGACATGTTCTCTCCACAGAAGGGCAGGCCAGCTCCCACCTCTCAGGGCTCTGACCCAGCCCGTCTCAGGTTTTTTTTCAGACACAGAGGGGACGAGGGACAAGATGTACACCCCACCACCTTTAGGAGAGGAACAAAAGCAACCACTTAGCAGGAAAATTTTTTTAAAAATCCTCCTCCATCCTCAGAATCCTAGAGGCCGGCTGTTCTGCAGGGCTGCTCCCTTACATCGTCCGAGTTCAACTCACTCTCGGCGGCTACGGATGCTTCGTCCACGCCTTGGAACATCCGTGGCCACGCTGCAGGGGCAGGGGACCCTGAGCCCTCTCCCTATCCCCTCGCCCCCACCTTGTCCCCTGGGCTTCTAATGAACCCTTCCCATCACAGCCAGGGTCAGGGTCGCTTTGTAGGATGCATCTCCTGCTAGCATCCTCCCCTTCCCGCTAGCATCTCCATGGAACGGTCCCCCCCACCTGGCCCTAACTTCCCTTGCTGGCTTGGGGATAGTCCATCTGCACGTGCTTGTCTGTCTCCAGGCGGCTGGAGGGGCACGGAGCCTCTGGGAGAGGGCCTTTCCACCTAGCCTCTCAGCCAGTGTGCCGGCCCCGCCAGGGCGCCAGCCCCCGGGGCAGAAATGGAAACCCGGCGCCGCGCTGACCCCGAAGGTCTGCAGTCAGCAGGCTCGCTCGCCTCAAGGCATTAGAGAGACTTTGGCGGTTTCTCCCTCTCCCTCAGTCGGGACTCAGGGAAGGAGGACTCTCCCCTGGCCAGTGCCTCCCCACACACGCACAGCGACCCAACACGAGCTGGCAACCTGCGTGGCGCGCCTTGCTTCTTGCGTGGCCGGGAGAACAACCCCCCCCCCCAAAAAAAAACCCTGCCAAGGGGGAGGGGTGGTGGTCAGACAGCAGGAGGGCGCAGAGGAGGCTCAGTTGTACCGCTCAGTTTACTTACGGAATTTGGGGCTGGTGCTAGTTTCTGGTGCGGTGGTGGTGGTGGTGGTGGTGGTGGCAGTGACGGTGGTAGAAGAAGAGGAAGAGGAGGAGGACACAGCATCCTGAACGGGAGACAGAGTCCAGGCGGGAGTGGAGTCGTGAAGGTAGGAGGAGGTAGCATATGCCGCAGTGGGCCAGGAGGGCATAGCCTGGGTACTGGGGACACCCGGCCCCGGCGGTCGGGAGCCCGGCGCGCTGCTACTGAAGAAAGGGGCCGTAGTGGACAGGGCCGTCGGGGGGCCCGCGGTGTTCCGTGCCGTGGTGGAGCGCGGGCTGGCCCGGATAGGCACGCGGTGGCCCGGGAAGCGAGTGGGTGCCCGCGTGACGGTGGTCAGGCGCGTGCTAATCCGGTTGGGCGTCCTGGAGGAGGCGGAGGGGGTGGCGGGGGACGTGGTGGCCGCGGTGGCGGTGGTGGTCTCCATAGCCTTGGGAAAAGAGCTGGGCTTGGAGAGGAAGAAGGGGTCCTGGCCCATCCCCTTGGAGTCCACCAGGTCTGTGGGCACGTACTCCTGGACGGAGCCCACCACGATCCATTTGAGGAGCATGAGGCTGAGCCCCAGGCCGATGAAGCCGATGAACAGAGGCACCACACACAGCCACGTCTGCTGCCGGTTCCACACGATGCAGTCGCTACAGCGTAACTCCCGGGGGGGCTCGGCCGCCCCTTCGCCGCCGCCGCCGTCCGGGCCCCCGCCCGCCGCTGCCGCCGCCGCCGCCGCCGCCGCCGCTGCTGCTGCTGCTGCGGTGCCCTCCTCGGCTGAGGCGGCGGCTGCCGAAGCGGCACCAGGTGGCGAGGCAGCGGCCGCGCCTTCACTCATCCTAGGAGCCGGTCTTCACCTTCGCCCCCCGAGGGCCGCGCCAGAGGCATGGGGCCGCGCGGGCCGGGCGCGGGCGCGGGCTCCGGCGGGCGGGCGGGCTAGGGCGCAGGCAGCGGCCGCCGCGGCCGCATGCAAATCGGCTCCCTGCCCCCACGCCCCTCCCCCCGAGAGGCGGGCGGCGGGCGGGGAGGAGAGGGGCGGGGGAGGGGGACGCGGGCCGGGGAGTAGGGGGGGAGGGCAGGCGGCGAGGAGCGCGCGAGAGGGGCGAGACGGGGCCACCCCCCAACACCCCTGGCTCGGCGCGCGCCACCGGCCCGGTCAGGGAGCGGCGGGGCGCGTCTGCAGCCCGCTGAGCGGCCTCCTGAGCACCGGGACCCCGCGCCCGCCGCCGCCGCCGCCGCCGCTGCTGCTGCTGCTGCTGCTGCTGCCGCCCCTGCTGCCACCGCTGCCCGCCGCCTGCGTGCGCTCCAGCCGCGCCCGCATCCTCGGGGCGCCGCGCCCGGCCCGCTCCCTAGGGCGCCCGCCCGCCCGCGCCGCCGTCGTCGCCGCCCCGCTGCTGCTGCTGCTGCTGCTGCTGCTGCTGCTGCTCCTGCCGCCGCCGCCTTCGGGCCTCAGGGGCCGAGCCGGCCGGACGCGGGACCCCGGGCACCAGCGAGCCGCATTCCGACACAGGGGGCCCCGCCGGCCCGGCCGCCGCCGCTCGCCCGGCGCACCGCGTTCCTCGGCGGCTGCTCTCGGCGAAGCCCCGGCGCTGAGGTGCACCTGTTCTTCAGCCGGCCCGCAGCCAACCCTCGGCCAGCACTTGCCGGGAGAGACCAATCCGAGCGCAGCGCGGAGGGCGAGCGGCCGGCTCGCCTCGCTCCCGCCGCCCGCGGCCCCGCGCCGCCACCGCCGCCGCCCGAGAGTCAAACTCCGGAGAGCGACGTCGTCGCCGCCGCCGCCACGAGCCGGGAACTGGGGGGCGCGGGGGTGCCCGCGGCAGGGCGCGCTTGGAGCCGCCGCCGAGGAACCTCCTCTCCACCCAGAAACAGGCGGGCAGAGGATTGCGAAGGATGCTCCGGCTCCACGGGCCTGGCGGAGCGTGGGGAGGAAGAAGCTGGTGGCCGCGTCGGGGCTGCCGAGCCACGCGGATGCCGGGCCGCAGGCGGCTCCGGGCGGGTGCGGGTGTGTGCGGAACCGAGGCGCGCGGGCTGCGATTCGGGCGGAGTAGCGCCTCCCACCAGCACCTAATGGTGGGTTCTTAATGCGCACAAGATAAATAAATGATCCAAGCAAGAACCCTCACCACCGTCACCCTCCCTCCTTCCCCGATAGAGCTTTGTGTGTCCAAAGCGGCCCCGGACTAATTCTGGAATCTTCGGGTCGGAGACTGACGCTGCGGGGCTAGGGAGCTGGGTGGGGGTGTACGGGCAGGCGGACAGGTGCTTGTGCGCGCCTATGCCTGGCAGAGGTGCCAGCTGAAGGAAGAGCCACCCAGGTCCCAAAGAGATGCTTGGGAAGCCAAGGACCTTTATGCGGTCAGACCTGCCACACACCTCCATGCCGTTTATAACTTGCCTTGCCTCTTCCCCCTCCCCTGCCCAAAAGAAAAAAAAAAAAAAAGCATTACTGCCATTAGTTATCCGTGCGCCTACAGACACACACGTCACACGGCAAACGTTAGCGAGAAGCAAAATGTTAGACAACCGAGGTTGGTAGCCCACATCTCGCTGCCTGTTTCGTCCCTTGGGCTCCGAAGCACCTGTGTGTAGCTTGCGTCTCAGGTGCTGAGTAGTACCTGCCTGAGTCCCCGGCTGCATAGAGAGGAAGCCAGGGTGTGGCGCCGAGATTAGCATAATCTTTGCTGACGGTGCAAAAACCTCGCTTGCCAACTACCCACATCCTCGGTGTAAAGGGGAAAAACCAAAAACGAGCTGTTTTTTCTACGAGGCTCCCAGGATGGGAGATGGAGAATGAAAACCTGCTAACCCACCTCCCTAGCACCGGCTGACTGGTACCGGTGACAGAGCCAGGCTTCTTACATTGCCTGTGCAAAGAGGAAGTTTTTAAGGGAACCATGTTATTCAGAGGTGGTGAGCCCAACGGTGCTCTGCAGAGAATGCATCGAATTGGAAAGCTCCCTGGGATTCGGTGCCTGCCAGAGTGTCAGAGCCAAAGTTAATGGATTACTTTTGATGGCAGAAATGAGGCTGTCACCTCTTTCCGTTGTAACACTGGAACTTTCCCCATAGGAAGAAAGCATTTGATTTTTAGCGTGATAGAACATGCTTCAGTCCAGCAGAGCTGAATTAGTTCTACAAATTTCAAGTGAAAAACAGAATCCACATTCTTCCCCCACTCCCTTCCCAGGGAAAGGCACAGTGCTGCCCGTGATGTGTACCTTGTGTGAGTGCTGTGTGTCTACCGCTCAATCTTTCTTGCAAAGCAAAGCTTTTCCCCCACAGGTCCCTGAAATGATAGCAAGGACCACAGCCTGCTCCCTGAGACAGGAAGTGACTTGGCCAAAGAAGCACTCATACATGGTTGGACGCCCAGTATTGCCTTGTTCCCGCCTTCTTTCCTGCCTGCTGGGGTACCTGCAGTGTGTAAAAGCAGAACTGGAACGCCACAGCCACAGCGGCAGCTGCAGCCAGGGCGAGTCCTCCCTTTCCCAGTGTGCTCCCTCCAGGCTGTCTCAGTATGCTCAGGGTCATCCTCTCCCATCTTTGTAAACTCCCTCTTCTCATTTCCACTTGACTTTCAAGGAGCTTCTGCGTGCTTCCCGGCTGAGTTCCTTTTCTGGTAGATCCCAAACCACTGTGCTGGCCCACCTGTTCTCTAACTGCTCCCACCCATCATGACCATCATCACTGGGAGAAAGAAACATGAACACCAAGCACTCATTGCTTGGATAATCTCCCGTTGGGGAAAGAGTTGTTCTGTGAAGATTTGGCTGGTGTCTGTCATTAACTGGCAGCTTTCCTGTGGGCAACCTGATAGCAGGCCGTAAGCAGTAGGGCTGGGGACCTGGGGGTGCTGCCAACAGTGGGGTCAAGGAGGAGTGGTAGACTCTGGAGAGCTAATAAACAGCCAGTTAAGTCATCCCCGCCTTCACCCTGCGCAGTGAGAAGGGGCTGCATTCTAACCCAGAGGTGTACTGATTCAAATTCAGTCTTCCTTTCAATGGTTCCAAAGTCCCCAAGCCAAGAGGCTCAGCATCATCTGCCACCACGGGGGTGGGGGGGAAATGTTTGATTAAAGCTCCTCTTTAGAACACAAAGCTAAAAGTGATTCTCACTGCTTGACATCCCAAAGGTGGCATGCCACAAACTCTATCCGGCCAACGGTCGTTCGCTTGCAGCTGGAGGTCTGGAGAAGGTGCCAGCTCCCAGGGAAAGCCACCCAACCTGTCGGCAGCAGGCATAATTGGAACATCCTCGGCGCTGACACAAACATCTGCCTTCTAGTACATGCAGCCCTTGTTCTAGGAACATCAGCTAACAGAGCCTCCATGAACTAGCAGTCAGGCACCACGGGTCAAAACAAATGCTGCTACCGGCATGCAGCCTGCATTTCAGTGGGAGAGACTGACAATAAGAAGACACACAAAAAAGCATAATTTTTATTATTTATGAGGAAATGGGAAGTGCAATTTGAGATCACAAAGAACATGCCCGGGTCTGTGTGAATTCACAGCACACCTCTTCAAAGTCAAGGTCCCCAATCTCTTTACTATCACCTGAAGCCGATGAGAACTTGATAGTCAGAGCCATGGAATAGCAAGATGCTGCTTTATTTATTGTGGCTTCTGTGAATGGTGTAGTCAATTTAGAAGCCAATCAGGCCTGCACTGCTCATAACTTCCTGATTCCAATGATATTGTATTACAAGCCAACATCATAAATTAAATGGCTGTAGATCATGCTTCCAGCTTCCTGTTCGTGGTAATGGCTCAAACAATTGAATTCCTATCCACCACATGAGAGACCTGGATTGAGTTTCTGACTTGCAGGCATTTGGGGAGTGAACCAGTGAATGACACCATGTGTGCATTCTCCTCTACCTGCTGCCTCTCCAATACATAACAAATACAGAAACAGTAATATAATGGAATAAACAATAAAGCATAAATTACGCCCAGAAAAAAAATGGGACAGCAAGGGACTGCAGTTCTGTCTTAATCACAAAAGATGATTGCAACAATGTTGGCAGACTTGAAGCATTGAATATCACCTAAATACACTGCTCTACATTGGGAAATACTGAGTATGGAATGATAAGACATGGCATTAAGAATTGTGAGTGATTGTCTAAGGAAAAAACAGATGTGAATTTTTTCTTTTTAAGATTTATTTTATCTTTATTGGAAAGGCGGATATACAGAGAGGAGAGACAGAGAGGAAGATCTTCCGTCCGATGATTCACTCCCCAAGTGAGTGCAACGGGCCGATGCTATGCCAATCCAGAGCCAGGAGCCTCTTCCGGGTCTCCCACGCGGGTGCAGGGTCCCAAAGCTTTGGGCCGTCCTCCACTGCTCTCCTGGGCCACAAGCAGGGAGCTGGATGGGAAGAGGGGCCGCCTGGATTACAACCAGCACCCATATGGGATCCTGGGCGTGCAAGGCGAGGACCTTAACCACTTGCGCCACCGCGCCGGGCCCCAGATGTGAAATTTTAGTGGGTGTCACCAGAAGACATAACCTGATTCTCCAAATAGGCTGAGAACTGAGAAAGTGACAGCTGGAGACGGAGGGAGGATTTTTGTGAAGCGGATTTCTTGAGCAGAAGCTGCGCTCTGAGTGCCACCGGCGAAGAAAACAAGTACACAGCCTTTGTACTTGAAGTAAAGAGGAGCTGCCAAAGAGGGTCCTGGAGAGCTTAGATGGGACCCCTAGCGTTCGGGCCAGTATCACTGGATTTGAAATAGACACACAAGCCTCAGAAATCCTGAGTAAGGAGCTGATGAAGTGGACTGTGGCAGCAGAAAGACACTCTATCCATTTGCCATTGCAAGAAGCATAAAGCCATTGCGTGTCACTAGAATCCCTCCAGAAGGGCCAGTGCTGTGACGTAAGGAGTTAAGTTGCCAGCCGCACTGGCAGCATCCCATATGGACTCCAGTTCCAGCTTCCTTCTGATGTGTCTGTGTAAACAACAGAG